ACATGTCTCAACAATTCAGTGTTAAAACATGTCTCAACAATTCAGTGTTAAAACATGTCTCAACAATTCAGCGTTAAAACATGTCTCAACAATTCAGCGTTAAAACATGTCTCAACAATTCAGTGTTAAAACATGTCTCAACAATTCAGCGTTAAAACATGTCTCAACAATTCAGTGTTAAAACATGTCTCAACAATTCAGTGTTAAAACATGTCTCAACAATTCAGTGTTAAAACATGTCTCAACAATTCAGTGTTAAAACATGTCTCAACAATTCAGTGTTAAAACATGTCTCAACAATTCAGTGTTAAAACATGTCTCAACAATTCAGTGTTAAAACATGTCTAAACACTTCAGCTGTCAAATATATCAGAAATACACTGAAGACCACTAAATAATTCACTTAGCACATTCCTAGAAACTGCCTCTGCTGACTTTGATCAAGCCAGTGCCTGAAAGCCACTTCTGCTGACTTTGATCAAGCTAGTGCCTGAAAGCCACTTTTGCTGACTTTGATCAAGCCAGTGTCTGCAAGCCACCTCTGCTGACTTTGATCAAGCCAGTGCCTGAAAGCCACCTCTGCTGACTTTGATCAAGCCAGTGCCTGAAAGCCACCTCTGCTGACTTTGATCAAGCCAGTGTCTGAAAGCCAATTTTGCTGACTTTGATCAAGCCAGTGCCTGAAAGCCACTTTTTATCCACAGGTAAACAAATTAATAGTGTGTGTGTGTGTCTACATATGTGTGTGTTTATCTGTTTGCGGTTACAAGAACAACCAAGTGCACATGAGCATCAATGTATCTGGTTTTGGGTTCTGACCAGGCAGGGAGGTGTGATGCTAGGCCCTCCGCAATGAAGGGCTCCAAGCAATACATCTGGAGAGAACAAGAGAGGCAGAGATTAGTGGTAGTGGCAATGAGGGGGTCCTGACAATGACATCAATTCCTGTGTCCCGTGGGATTTGTGTGCCATGTTAGAACAGGTGCCCAGGAAATAATCGCAAAAGAAGAAACAGGAAGTAGATGAAGAAGACAAAATAGAAGATGGCTAGATGAAAGGCTAAACCAAATGTTCTCATCAAAGCTAGTCTTCATGAATGTCCCCTAGAGAAGACAAACCAACAATGAAAAGAAGCAACTAAAAGCTCCACTGCAACCATCCAACAAGTCAACATTTATAACTGCTGCTACCTGTCTACCACACAAAACTGCATGGAGACTGTCAATCCAACAAACACCATTAGTTTCTGTAGACTGTCAATCCAACAACCAACATTAGTTTCTGTAGACTGTCAATCCAACAAACACCATTAGTTTCTGTAGACTGTCAATCCAACAAACACCATTAAAAGATAAAACCTGATGTTGCTGTCGTAAAAAGATCAAGTCGGAAACTGAAAGCATGCGATGGCAATAAGCACCCACAGTTCCTTTCTGTCTCTGCTCCCTGACACCCCTACCCCTGCTGGGACAAGCAGAATTATTAACTAGAACTATCTCGGGCCAAGGATATGCAAATGACCTTACAGACAGCAGTTTGACGTAACCCTAGATTTTAATGTGAATAATTTAAAAAACCCTCTGATACCAGTTATGACAAGGTGTGCTATAAATAGTTTCCACATGTAAGGTTGTTTACACCTGACGTCTGCTCTTCCGTCTATCCTGCACCATTTCTATCCTTGACCTTGTATCAGAACACACACATCTGGCATGGTCATCTTCTTCAACAGACCTCAGAAAAGCTGATGAACCCGTTGGAGAATCAGTCAGAGAACTCTGGGACATGGAAGCCAAAGAGACAGGGGCATGGACAAGCAGTTTCATGAAACTGCTCGTCTTTACTGTCAATGTTCCATCAACAAAGACAGAGGACCTAGTTTGCCTAATTGGATATATGATGCTAAGTCCGTGTTAGGGACTAAGCAGCAACTAGCAGCTGATGCAGTCTGTATCAGGCCTTGCCAGTTGTGTTAGGATGGCTCTGATCCTAGGGCCAGTGGGATCATCAAATCCTGCCTTGGGAGTTTCATCCTAGAGCCAGCTGAGAGACCAGAGTTAACCAGGCAATGCCACTTCAGTTCCATGTTAGCAGAAAATGCCACTGATCTTCACAATTGTTACTTTTCACTTCTATCTGTCCTGGTGATACTGTGATCACAAAGTTTCCACTTCTATCCTAGTAAGACTAAGATCATAAACTTTCAATGTTATCTCCGTGACAATGCAAACATCAACATCAACAGCCATAGTAAATGAAGTTCTATTTCCTTTCAAAGATATCATCTGTAGTTCTAGAGAATTGTTTCATGACATCTCCAAGATGTTTTTCTTGTTCTGTTGAACCTAAAGATGATACCCTAAAACTGTCAAGTGTCTTAACAGCTGGCAAAACCTGGCTGGGGACAAAAGTAGTTTTCTTGAAATGCTGAAGACAGCAAGCAGGTCACAGAAATGTTACAATTCCATACTACAATGTACCGTGTCTGTAATCACAAAGGGTAAACAAATACTGTTTCTCTGTTGACAGTATATGTGTAACTAACTTTCGGCCAGATTTTTTCCCTGGGTTCAGTTCAACGACTGATAAGAACAAATTCCAGAATGCTCCTCAGGACAGAAGCATGTGTGTAAACAGGTTTTGTCTGGGCGTGTCTCATGGCCAACTTCTCAACAAATGCAACCAACTTAATCTCAGTGTCAAAGTTACGTCTGCCTATGGCCGAGAACCTTGACCCCTGCACGGTGCTTTCACACGTCTGATGCATTGCACACAAAATGTTCCCGGTGCAAAAACGGAACATTGCTCATAAATGTCCCACAATACATGCTGATTTTCCTGGCAAGTTTCATTCCCAGATAAACAAAAAATAATGACTGCTCAGCCTGAGACAAGCAGTTTGTGACCAAATGTTGAATTAACATTTGTGTGATAAAATGTTGTTCTAGTAACCGTGTGACCAAATGGAGCACTTGTGTGATCAAATGTCAAAGAGACACACATATAAAAAGATCTAGTATCCAAGCCTTGATGTGTATTGGGTATGTGGTGCTGGCCTCTGCAATGAAAGATGGACATATCCATCAGTTACCTGATCTCTGGGCAGTACACAATATGTCTAGCTTTCTCAGATAAAGGCAAGGAAAAAAGTCACCATGGATGGGGAAAAAATTTAACAGTAGTGTGAAATCTTAAAAGAACACTCTAAAAATACCGCTACCAAGGGGCAACTGAAATCTTGGGAACTTACCACACAATACAATACTCATTGTATGCACGATTCTGGTATAAATGTATCAGGATCCTCCCTGGAGCAGCAGAGCCATGCTCAATGTGTAGAATTTCTCAGTATGCTCTAGGAGGGAGAATATCTGAGCTCTAGTGGATAATTTCAAGTGTGATGTGACTGTCATGAACTCTATTCAATCCATTCACCATTCAGTTATCCACAATGGATACAAACATGTATTTTGTACAGTCAATATTGCTTAAACACAGAGAAAGTACTGGTGTAAAAACAACAATGGCTGACCCCAACAACTGACTGACTGCAGCAATGGCTGACCCCAACAACTGACTGACTGCAGCAATGGCTGACCCCAACAACTGACTGACTGCAGCAATGGCTGACCCCAACAACTGACTGACTGCAGCAATGGCTGACCCCAACAACTGACTGACTGCAGCAATGGCTGTCCCCAACAAACTGACCCCAAAAAACTGACTGACTGACTGCAGCAATGGCTGACCCCAACAACTGACTGACCCCACTGACCCCAACAACTGACTGCAGCAATGACTGACCCCAACAACTGACTGACTGCAGCAATGGCTGACCCCAACAACTGACTGACTGCAACAATGGCTGACCCCAACAACTGACTGACCCCAACAACTGACTGACTGCAGCAATGGCTGACCCCAACAACTGACTGACTACAACAATGGCTGACCCCAACAACTGACTGACTGCAACAATGGCTGACCCCAACAACTGACTGACTGTAGCAATGGCTGACCCCAGCAACTGACTGACCCCAACAACTGACTGACTGCAACAATGACTGACCCCAACAACTGACTGACCCCAACAATGGCTGACCCCAACAACTGACCCCAACAACTGACTGACTGTAGCAATGGCTGACCCCAACAACTGACTGACTGCAGCAATGGCTGACCCCAACAACTGACTGACTGCAACAATGGCTGACCCCAACAACTGACTGACTGCAGCAATGGCTGACCCCAACAACTGACTGACTGCAGCAATGGCTGACCCCAACAACTGACTGACTGTAGCAATGGCTGACCCCAACAACTGACTGACTGCAACAATGGCTGACCCCAACAACTGACTGACTGCAACAATGGCTGACCCCAACAACTGACTGACTGCAGTAATGGCTGACCCCAACAACTGACTGACTGCAGCAATGGCTGACCCCAACAACTGACTGACTGCAGCAATATCAGCTCACACAATTCAGCCCAGACACACAAAATAAGTTACTTCAACAACGACAAGCAACTACAGGTATCTGTAATACATGCTCCCATAGCTGCACAGCACCAGCATCCACACACACAACCTCAATAAATGCTGTTTTGGAAAACAACCCTACAATATTTCAACTGGTGGCTTTTGCTCCACTTGAACACTGACGCTGAGATCTTCCATACTTTGCATAAAAAAGCTGTCAGGGACAAAAGCCTGGGTTTGATACATCTCTCAATATAAAAACATGTCTCAACCCAAGTAAGGGCTACAAGAACTGCCCCAAAACATTCGGGCACTGCGATGTCTCAGTGCTGCTCGCAGAGGCTGTTGACGATGATGAAATGTTTGTATGTGTATGTATAAATATATGTACAGTGAACAATAACTGCTAGAGGTGGTTCTACTCATGGAACAATATAATACTTGAAACTGTGTGCTCGTGGCAGTCACAGATGCCAGAGAAATGGAGAAAACAGCTTGGCCTAAACTACAACCTATCTCAGGAGTCGGCATCAAGCATCTCCAGGAAGAGTTTGTGCATCATCACCCGGCCGTCTTTCTTCATATCGTACCAGAATTGCTTGGCCAGGAGCTTGATGTGCATGATGGGCGGCAGTAAGAGGAAGAGCTGGCCTAACCGGCGAGTGTTGGGCCCAAAGTTGGACTTGACACAGTCGGACAGGGCATCCTGCAGTTGGTCCTGCAGGTGTGAGACACACTCTCCGACATCCGCGACAACATCTGCAACAGAAAGTAGTACAGGTTTTCTCAAGTGCTTCACAAATACCAGATCATTAGCTAAAATAGCTTATCATCACCATCATACAGTCACAACTAATTGATCTTTCTATTCTGCAAGATGGTACACACGATAAAACTGCAATACATATTTCAAGATCTCAAACATTCTTTGATGATCTAATGCCACACGATGACAAGGTAATTCTAATACTGCTGCTAAACAGCAAGATGAAAAACACTCATCTTCTTCTTCTTCACTGGCTGTGAACTTTGGTGGAAAGTTCTAGTTGTTCATCCATTTCTGGACTCTGGTCTTGTTTTCACCCACAATGAGGCCCTATAACCCACACAGGGAGCACAAACATTCAAATATTGCTGACACACTGCACTGTAAGATGACAAACCTTCTATTATACTGCCCCACTGTAAGATGAAAAACCTTCTATTATATTGCCCCACTGTAAGATGACAAACCTTCTATTATACTGCCCCACTTTAAGATGACAAACCTTCTACTATACTGCCCCACTGTGAGATGACAAACCTTCTACTATACTGCCCCACTGTAAGATGACAAACCTTCTATTATACTGCCACACTGTAAGATAACAAACCTTCTACTATACTGCCACACTGTAAGATGACAAACCTTCTATTATACTGCCCCACTGTAAGATGACAAACCTTCTACTATACTGCCACACTGTAAGATGACAAACCTTCTACTATACTGCCCCACTGTAAGATGACAAACCTTCTACTATACTGCCCCACTGTAAGATGACAAACCTTCTACTATACTGCCCCACTGTAAGATGACAAACCTTCTATTATACTGCCACGCTGTAAGATGACAAACCTTCTACTATACAGCCACACTGTAACATGACAAACCTTCTACTATACTGCCACACTGTAAGATGACAAACCTTCTACTATACTGCCACACTGTAAGATGACAAACCTTCTACTATACTGCCACACTGTAAGATGACAAACCTTCTACTATACTGCCACACTGCAAGATGACAAACCTTCTACTATACTGCCACACTGCAAGATGACAAACCTTCTACTATACTGCCACATTGTAAGATGACAAACCTTCTACTATACTGCCACACTGCAAGATGACAAACCTTCTACTATACTGACACACTGCAAGATGACAAACCTCCTACTATACTGCCCCACTGTAAGATGACAAACCTTCTACTATACTGCCCCACTGTAAGATGACAAACCTTCTATTATACGGCCACACTGTAAGATGACAAACCTTCTACTATACGGCCACACTATAAGATGACAAACCTTCTACTATACTGCCCCACTGTAAGATGACAAACCTTCTATTATACTGCCACACTGTAAGATGACAAACCTTCTAATATACTGCCCCACTGCAAGATGACAAACCTTCTACTATACTGCCCCACTGTAAGATGACAAACCTTCTATTATACTGCCCCACTGTAAGATGACAAACCTTCTATTATACTGCCCCACTGTAAGATGACAAACCTTCTACTATACTGCCACACTGTAAGATGACAAACCTTCTACTATACTGCCACACTGCAAGATGACAAACCTTCTACTATACTGCCACACTGTAAGATGACAAACCTTCTACTATACTGCCACACTGTAAGATGACAAACCTTCTACTATACTGCCACACTGTAAGATGACAAACCTTCTACTATACTGCCACACTGTAAGATGAAAAACCTTCTACTATACTGCCACACTGTAAAATGACAAACCTTCTACTATACTGCCACACTGCAAGATGACAAACCTTCTACTATACTGCCACACTGTAAGATGACAAACCTTCTACTATACTGCAAGATGACAAACCTTCTATTATACTGCAAGATGACAAACCTTCTACTATACTGCCACACTGTAAGATGACAAACCTTCTACTATACTGCCACACTGTAAGATGACAAAGACTAATATTTCTGCAACACTACAGATGACAAAGACTAATATTTCTGCAACACTACAGATGACAAAGACTAATATTTCTGCAACACTACAGATGACAATGCTGATGCTACTACACCACTGTAAAATGGCAAACAGTGAAGAGGCAACAATGGAATGTTCCAATGACCTATGACACTGACAAACCAGACAAATGCAACATACCGATGTTACACAAAGTGATTGCCTTGAGCAGCACAAACTCGTCCCGGCTGACACTGAGGTGGGTGAACTTCTTACACAGCTTGCGGATCAGCACATCCAGCTCTGGAGGAAAGCCTAGACTCTCGACCATGTCTTCCGAAAGCTGGAGATCTTCGGCAAAGCAGACATGTCCTTTGTAGGGGCAGGAGCGGAACACCAGGCTCAACATGAGGATCTCCAGCCAGGAATGCTGCAGGAGGAGCATCTGGTCAACCAAAGACAGGCTGGAGAAACCTGCAACAGTTACAGGTGGACACGGTTATGCTTCAACTAACAGATGGTTTCAATGGTTGGTTGCTCATTAATTGATGAATAGGGGACACAATAAATCTGTCATACCATGATGTATGTAACAATTGGTGAGAATAACATATCATAAATGTATAAAAGATCACAGAAGGTCAGATCTATAAAAAAATCATGGAAGGGCAGATCTATCAAACAGATAACAGTGAAGGAGGGACTAGAGAGTGGCACAGATCTATACATAAAATCAGATTAGAAGTCAGACCATTGGACAGATTAGATTAGAAGTCAGAAGAGAACACGTGAAATTATAGATAAACAGGATATGCATGAGATCAGAGGAAAAAATGAGGAGACAGAACAGCTGAGATAATAAGTAGAGACTAGAGAAGTGAGATTAGAGTTAAAGACTAAACAGCAGGTGAGGTTGGAGTCAGAATCTAGAGAACAGGTGAGATTAGAGTTAGAGAACAGCAGAGATTAGAGTTAGAGACTAGAGAACAGGTGAGGTTGGAGGTAGAGACTAAAGTACAGGTGAGGTTAGAGTTAGAGACTAGCGAACAGAGACTAGAGATGTGAGATTAGAGGTAGAGACTAGAGGACAGGTGAGATTAGAGGTATATACTAGAGAACAGGTGATATTAGAGATAGAGAGAACAGGTGAGATTAGAGTTAGAGACTAAAGAACAGGTAAGGTTGGAGGTACAGACTAGAGAACAGGTACGATTAAAGGTAAGGACTTTAGGTGAAATAGTAAAAGATGCCAGAACTCAGGGACAAACTGTGACAACAGGTGTATATACCTGGAACCTGTTTGGCCCAGCTAATGGTCATAACCAACTCGCGGTCGGCGAGGTCAGAGGCCGCGGCCATGAACTTGACATCGGTATCGACGGCAGAATCTGTGTTGGCACGCAAGGTCTCCATCTGCGACTCCAGCGCTAGCAGCATGGAGAGGATTTTGTTATCTGTTGCTGCGGAGAATCAAAAACAATGACTTATTGTCTGCACAACCCACTGTTGAAGCATTCATCGGTAAATATACACCTAATATACAGACAATATTTCAAACAGTCAGATGCATATTTCACTGATTTCAGAAACAACATCATAGCACACCGGGTACACACACAGATGCTTCGTCTCCCACAGCAGATGTAGAGGCTAACTGTTTCACCGAGCACAATATTTACAAAATGTTGTTGTCTTTATCTCTTACATCCCTCAAACCCACAACTAATTCCTCGTGCGCACATTCTTACAAATGCTACTCTATCTAACCTCGCGTCTTCCATTAGCGCTCCTTTACAACTGGTCTTCAGAATGTCTTCTTTGTCCAGTAGGAGCGTTCCAGTAGCTATCGCCTTTGTGGCCATAAATTTCACTTTTTCATTGCCTCGTACTCCTGCATATTCTGGACAATACACAGCGGTCTGCTGCTAATGACTGCAGCTGGAACCGAGCAGTGTATTTCGGGATTACAAAGCGCGTTCGCGAAGCGCGTTCGTCTAAGGTACAGACGCGAACACAAGGCAATCTGCTCTGAGGTACAGACACCAACACAAGACAATCTGGTCTGAGGTACAGACGCCAACACAAGACAATCTGGTCTGAGGTACAGACGCCAACACAAGACAATCTGGTCTGAGGTACAGACACCAACACAAGACAATCTGGTCTGAGATACAGACACCAACACAAGACAATCTAGTCTGAGGTACAGCCACCAACACAAGACAATCTGGTCTGAGGTACAGACGCTAACACAAGACAATCTGGTCTGAGCTACAGACACCAACACAAGACAATCTGGTCTGAGGTACAGACACCAACACAAGACAATCTGGTCTGAGGTACAGACACCAACACAAGACAATCTGGTCTGAGGTACAGACACGGACACATGACAATCTGGTCTGAGGAATACAGACACCAACACAAATACAATCTGGTCTGAGGTACAGACGCTAACACATGACAACAATCTGGTCTGAGGTACAGACACCAACACAAGACAATCTGGTCTGAGGTACAGACACCAACACAAGACAATCTGGTCTGAGGTACAGACACCAACACATGACAATCTGGTCTGAGGTACAGACACCAACACAAGACAATCTGGTCTGAGGTACAGACGCTAACACATGACAATCTGGTCTGAGGTACAGACACCAACACAAGACAATCTGGTCTGAGGTACAGACACCAACACAAGACAATCTGGTCTGAGGTACAGACACCAACACAAGACAATCTGGTCTGAGGTACAGACGCTAACACATGACAATCTGGTCTGAGGTACAGACACCAACACAAGACAATCTGGTCTGAGGTACAGACACCAACACAAGACAATCTGGTCTGAGGTACAGACACCAACACAAGACAATCTGGTCTGAGGTACAGACGCTAACACATGACAATCTGGTCTGAGGTACAGACACCAACACAAGACAATCTGGTCTGAGGTACAGACACCAACACAAGACAATCTGGTCTGAGGTACAGACACCAACACAAGACAATCTGGTCTGAGGTACAGATGCTAACACAAGACAATCTGGTCTGAGATACAGACACCAACACAAGACAATCTGGTCTGAGGTACAGACACCAACACAAGACAATCTGGTCTGAGGTACAGACGCCAACACAAGACAATCTGGTCTGAGATACAGACACCAACACAAGACAATCTGGTCTGAGGTACAGATGCTAACACAAGACAATCTGGTCTGAGGTACAGACGCCAACACAAGACAATCTGGTCTGAGATACAGACACCAACACAAGACAATCTGGTCATGAGACTATTTCAAGGGAAATAACTACACACGAACTAGATAGACCAGCGTTTTTCAACCTTTGACACACACGGACAGGGGCTACAGAAATGTGTCCTGGATCCGCAGACGACAGACAAGACGGAAACCAAAGATAAATGTAGACAGAACTGACTTTATAGGATATAATTTTATACAATGACAACTTTCATCTGTTGAGAGCTGCTGCTGCTCCTGGGTGAGAAATTCATTTAAACTTATCCGCAGCGTGGTTTCTAAGCGACTAAACGCTTCAACAACATAAATTCCATTTCTCCGACTGCCACTGTAGCCGCTACATGATTAGGCGGACCTTTCTAGCGGACCGCCTGAGTATTTCCGCGGACCGGTGCAGGCTGAAGAATACGCACCAGACCAACCCGAGAATAAATATTCATTGGGTAGGTTACTGACAGGGTTACCACGACTATTTCCAGGGACAAGATATTAAAATAGACTCTACACGTCAAACGACTCACAGAGAAAAGTGCAACACGCAGCAGAACACATTGTAAGGCAATCAATAATGCAAATATGGCCAGACTTGTCAGCACAAGAGTTCGCTGTCACTTGCAGGTGGCTGTGAAACAATGTTTCATAAAAACGTCGCCATTCTTGGTGCATGTTCAGTCTGCCAATACTGCAGGTGGTTCTGGGCTAGCGGGTTAGTCGATACATTCAGGGATGACTATACATTACAGACAACTCCTTCAGGTACTGGCTCCTGCTACAAATAATCCTGCTGTAATAACAACAACAACAGCTACTACAACAAAGCGACACTGATGACCAACCACCATTACTAGTACTACTGTTGCCATCAACTCTTCGTCTCAACCCCAATGTCGCGGGTTTAACAGTCTGATAACCACTGGATAACAAAACTGGCTATACGGGGCCGCTAGATGATGGGGGAGCTATATGGACGCTAAATGATGGTGAGCTACACAGACGCTAAATAATGGGGAGATACACGGACGCTAAATGATGGGGAGCTACATGGACGCTAAATGATGGGGAACTACATGGACGCTAAATGACGGGGAGCTACACGGACGCTAAATGATAGGGAGCTAAATGGACACTAAATGATGGGAGCTAAATGGACGCTAAATGATAGGGAGCTACATGGACGCTAAATGACGGGGAGCTACACGGACGCTAAATGACGGGGAGCTACACGGGCGCTAAATGATAGGGAGCTACACGGACGCTAAATGATGGGGAGCTACACGGACGCTAAATGATGCGGAGCTACACGGACGCTAAATGATGGGGAGCTAAATGGACGCTAAATGATGGGGAGCTACATGGACGCTAAATGATGGGGAGCTACACGGACGCTAAATGATGGGGAGCTACACGAACGCTAAATGATAGGGAGCTAAATGGACGCTAAATGATGGGGAGCTACACGGACGCTAAATGATGGGGAGCTACACGGACGCTAAATGATGGGGAGCTACACGGACGCTAAATGATGGGGAGCTACACGGACGCTAAATGATGGGGAACTACATGGACGCTAAATGATGGGAAGCTACAAGGACGCTAAATGATGGGGAGTTACATGGACGCTAAATGATAGGGAGCTACATGGACGCTAAATGATAGGGAGCTACACGGACGCTAAATGATAGGGAGCTACATGGACGCTAAATGATAGGGAGCTACATGGACGCTAAATGATAGGGAGTTACATGGACGCTAAATGATAGGGAGCTACATGGACGCTAAATGATAGGGAGTTACATGAGGCCTTGTACTTAGTTTGGCCTGTAAGTGGCCACACAGGTGACATGACCTCATCCCATCCCTAACGCTACAGCAGCATCAGGTGCCGCAGAAAGCCCACTAACGATATAGCCCCTTAGCCACGCCGTAACATGCCGTAAAGCAAAAAAAGCATGGCTGTCAAAAGCTGTTACTATTTGCAGGCGACCTAAGAGCTATAAACGGATACCAGGGTCTATGTTTAGACTGTTAGGGCCACTCAGGTGTTGGCTCTCTTCGCTTGGTTTATTTTAGTGAAGCCATATAATGGATTAGAAATACAGGGATTTATATCAACCTACTTAATGGAGCCATAATGGCGAACCATGCCTAGTCGTGAAATGTCTACTATGGCTAGTCACTTTTAGATGTGTGGCTTTCTAGTCACGTGATCGCAGCTGTGCCTTGAACTGCCATTTTGAGATTATTCATCTCCTTTAGTAGGTGAATTCTGCAATGTCCCATGTTCAAAGACTACTGAAATCTCCCAGGCTTGTACTATATAGTAAAATCCAACACTGTCAGGCATTCCAGACTCCCATTTGTACACAACATTGAAATCTCAAACAGCACGACAAGGAAAGCTTTCTCTGACAAAAACACACAGCCTGGATATATTCACATGACAGACAGACAGATGGGGGTCGACATCGTCGCAGGCGCCAGTCCGCCTGGTTGGCTACGTTTCATTTCACTGAGAAATGTTGAGTCTAAAGTGCAGATTACACAGCGACTGATAAATGCTGACTTATCTGGAGTGACCTATGACAGAGGAGGCAGGTACTGTAGAGGAGAGGAGCGAGTTAGCGCACTTGAACAAGAAATAATCACTGTGATCCAAGTGACTGTGGAAGTCGAGGAGAATGCGCACGGAAAGGTCATGGAGCCAAGCAATGTTTGGAGGCAAGACAGGAGTCACCACACCTCGCATAGCGCACTTTCTAAACCGAGGCAGGAATCTGGTGTGGACACGAAATAGTACAAAACAGCGCGCTCACGCAATGAACAACACTTACTTGGGGGGAGGGGGGGGGGGGGGTTATGGTTGTGGTAGATGTCCACACTGGCCATGTCAAGGCAAGATGGTTAGAAACCAGACACGTGGCCTGGCTTGTGTGGCTCCGAGAGATTCAGAAATGGACATCTAAACTCAATCAGCAGAGCTGTAAAATGTGAAAGTGTCGTCTGCTGGGTTTAAGCGACAACAAGCCCCCCATCCCATGTTCACGGGCTTTGATACCAGGATCCTTTCCAGCAGAACCACGGACTCGCCTGGCGGCAGGACATTGACTGCCGAGATCTCCGACATACGACACAATACTAAAGTTACTGACAAGATCCCTAACGCAGGACATTGACTGCCGAGATCTCCGACA